CCACTTTGTGCAACCCCCCCACCCTCACTCGCACCCCCGTCAGGACTCCCCCAAAACACGCGTGGGGATGGGGGGGGAACTCCCCAAATCCCCCCTCCATCCACGGGGGGACCCCCCTGAGCCCACCCAACGTTACGGGGGGGCGACACGGTGACATTAAACCCCACCCCCGTGGGCGGAGCCGTGGGAATGGGGCCCACGCTGGGGGGAGAGCGCGAGTGGGCGGTGGGCGGCGTTGCCATGGCGACCGTGGGCGGCCGTGGGGCTGCGGCTGTGTGCAGTCATCGGGGGACGGGGAGGGGATGAGGAGGGGCCCCCCCGGACCCCCCGGGATACCAGTGTCCCAGCGGGCGCCTTGGGATGCTGCTGCCCCACGGGGCTGATGAGGCGGGGGCTGATGGGACGGGGGCCTTCGAGTGGGGCTGGGGACAGAGCGTGTCCCTGTGGGTGGCAGCATCACTACGGGTGGTGGCGTCCCCACGGCTGGCAGCGTCCCCATGGGTGGCAGTGGCCCCAATGGTTGTGGTGTCCCTATGGGTGGTGGCAGTGCCCCACAGGCAGTGCTGTCCTCATGGGTGGCAGCCTCCCCATGACCAGCCACGTCCCCACAAGTGGTGATGTCCCCACCAGGAGCAGCGTCCCCATGGGTGTCAGTGCCCCATGGTGTCAGTGCCCAATGAGCAGCACTGTTCCCACACACGGCAGTCCCTACCAGTATTCCCGAAGCACTCGCACTCCCTGTGCTGGGAGCAAGGATTTATTGCAGCCGGGGGCAGCGGGGTGCTGCATCCCCCAGCCCCAGGCTGTGCACCCGGGCGGTCCCTGCTGCCCCCGGGGTTGGGGACAGGCAGGGACCCCGGGCAGGGCACAGTGTGGATGCACCCGCTGAGGGCGCAGCCGCCCGGGGCTGGGTAGGGAGGGGACGTGCACCCGCAGAAGCAAAAACCAGAAATATCCTCAACCACCAAAAATAATAATTATGTCACCCAACGAGCTCCGTCTATTCCTGAAAAACAACAGAGCCGTCGCCAGCGCGAGGCGAGGCGAGGAGAAGGGTCCCAGCGCCGGGTTGCCGTGGTGACGGGGATGGAACGCTGTGTCCCGTGCTGCGCCGACGCCGGCTGTGGATGCCGGGGGTCCCACACCGGGTTTGGGGTCCTCCCCTCCCCGCATTGCTGCTCGGACACTTTTTGCCGGGGTCAAAACTGCACGGCGCCAGGGGAGATGTTGAACATGGAAGGGTCGAACTTCTGGCCGCGGAACGGGGAGCCCTCGGTGTCCCAGCCCTTCTTCAGCATCTCATGCACCTTCTGCAAAGAGGAGCGGGCCCGTCACGATGGAGCCACCCCACACCCGTCCCATGCTGCCCCACAGACTTGGGATGCAGCTCCGGAGCTCTGCCCTCGAGCACGGGGTCATGGAGGCTCCCCAGCAGGGACAGGACAAGCCGTGCTCCTGTCTGGAGGCACCTACCAGCTCGTGGCTCTGCGGCTTGCCCTGCAGCTTCTGGTGGTAGTCGAAGGTGAGGCGGTCGAGCACGGCGTGCTCCTCCTCGTCCACCGTGGCCATGGAGCGCTCCTTGTTGATCTTGTCAATGTCGATCTGCTCCTCGCCCTCCAGGATGGCGTTCCACCAGTACTCATCTCCCTTGTTCAGGTTAATCTGGGGACAACACGTGGCTCAGGGAGTCCATGTCCCACCATGGGGATGCGTCACCCCAAGCCCATCCAGCACCCTGTCCCCATGTGCCACCACAGGGACATGCCACCAGGCCAGGCCAGGGGACACAGCCATAACCGTGGCCTGTGCAGACACTGGGATGTCACTGCTGCTGCCAGATTGCCACCAGCCCTGGAGGGGCAGCCCAAGGGAGAGGCGACATCCAGTTGTCCCCAGGCCACCAGCCCACACCCCTGCTGCCGTGAGGCTGCAGTGGGCTTCCCGTTCTGCTGTAACTGAGCGACAATGCTGGCAGTGAGGGAGATTTATGGCATTGGCCGGCGTCTCTGCAAAGCCATCCGTAGAGGCAGACAATGCAATGTGGGTGCAGCTCCCCAGAAGCTCTGCAGAGCAAAATGGGGGCAGCCATGAAAGTTCGGGAGCAGGGATTGGTGCAGGAGGGGGTGGCTGGGCTCAGTCCTCATGGGAGAGCAGTGCTGGCACAACGCTGCAGCGTGCCAAAGGCGGTGGTTTCAACCCGAAAGCAAACCGCCTTCCATCGGGCCCAATCCTGGGTGCTCACCCAGCAGTGAGCACGAGGAACACACAGCCATGGGGTGCGTGGCCACAGGGCCTCATAGCGGGCACACAGCCCCATGCAGGGGGTGCCTGGCATCAGCCCCCTCCCCATCCCACCGCTCCCGTCACAGGGCTGGCAGTGGGTGGGAGCCCCGCAGGGCTGTGGCCCACGGCCCCTCTCCTCCTCCCACCCCACGCACAGCCCTCGCTTTATTTACCACGTCCTGCTCCCACCCTGCTGGGAAGGCAGAATTATTCATTTCCTCGGCAGCTTTTCTGTGCCGTGCATCACCGCTGCGCTGAGAGCCTTGCAAACAATCATTAATTAACCTCTGCGGCCCACCTTGCGCATGCGGGGGAGTTTGCTGTTCCCCCAGATTCCAGGGGAAGAGAACTGAAAGTGGGACTCTCTCTGAGGCTGCGGTCCCACTTTCTAACAGAAGCCTCCACACGCCCACAGAGCTCCTCAGGTGTGGGTTTGGGGTTTGGGGCCGGCTCGTGGCGTGGGTCGGTTCCTTGGATGCAGTGCTGCGCCAGCTGTGCTGTGCCCTGGGAGGTGGCCATGGAAGCTGGGAACCCCATGGGGCTCTGCCAAGGGAACAGGGTTTCACCACAAGGACAAATAAATCTTGACCTGATTACGTTGCTCTCTGCGAAGGGAGCAGTACTCTGCCCCAGCTCGGAGCTGCAGGGTGCTCAGAGCCTCCCGCAGGAAGGATCGGGTTCCGGATGCCTCGTGCTCGGATTGCACAGCTCTGCTTTGGGGCCGGCGGATGCTGGAGCTGTACGAAGCCAAGGGGCTGGGGCAGGATGGGCAGTGAGGAGAGCTGTGTGCTGCAGCGGCACAGATGTGGCATTGTGTCACCTCCCATGTCCCTGTATCCCGTGAGGAGGGGCCCATCCTTCACCGCGGGTGCTGCGCTTTGCCATAGCATTGGGTTGCCTCCCGAATCCCAAATGCCGCGTCAGATCTGGAGGGATGCTGCCAAGGGATGGAAGTAGGACTTGGAAAAGCCACCTCTCACCACCTGCTTCCCTTCCGACATGGCAGCAGCGTCCCCAAGAGCCAGCGGGGGACAGGAGCTGCTGAGGGGGCACCAGGGAACGCTTCCAATGGTGCATGGAGGTTGGGGAGCACCACAGATTGCTATTAAGCTCAGGAGATGACAGGCAAAGGCTGTAAGAGCTGCTCAAGGCAGGGCTGGGTGACAAAAGCCTGTGTGGATAACAAATGTTGGAAAGAAGGAGAGAAAGCTAGGGAATGGGGGAAAAAATCCTCAAAGAAAAAAATCCCAAAATGTGTTGTGCACAACACCCAGCAGAGACTTCTAAAAACGGCTCCCGCGAATCTATTTTCATCTCTCTTTTGACAAGTGAGCAGGCATGACAGCGAGGGGAGAGCACAGGGATTACGGCCAGGGCTGTGGTGCTGGGCAGAGCTGGCAGCTCCAAAGCCACAGCCCTTGAGCTTCTGCCTTGCTCAGGGTGCAACGAGAGCCACAAACATACTGAAGGACACAGAGAAATGGGATGAGGGCTCGGCCAGCTCTGGGAGTGAGGGGAAGGGAGAAGCACCTTCCAGGCAGTGAGCCCAGCACTGGCACACTGTGAGCATGGCTTCGTTGTGCCCCCACCTCACTGGAGGCTGCTGCCCCTGCATCCCCAGCAGGGAGCTCGCATGTCCCACGGGAAGATGCTCACAGTCACCGCAGAGCTGCAGCCACACAGCCTGTGGAGCACACCACACCTGCACCACGCCGTGCTCAGGATAAGCCCGGCACTCACACAGTCCCCTCCCAGCAGCTGAACCACCAAATGGCTGCGTGCCTCCTGATGAATGAACGGGAAGGAGTCGCCCAGCGCTTTCGGCTACTCTGCGCAAGGAGAAAGGAGACACTCTCGGGTTGAATTACTCACTCTGCTCCAGTTACCTTACAATTCTTCCAGAGAAATTTCATCCCACCATCAATATGTTGGCAGCCAGCTGGAGATCCTCGCAACCCTGCGCTCGTGCTAATTTGAGGCTCTTGCCTTCAGCTCAGGTTGGAGATGAGGGGACTGCTCCCCACGGTCACTGCACCAAGCCCCAAGTCTCGCTCCGCCCGCGCTGCTCCCATCCTCCTCCAGCTGTGTAACACACTACTGATCTCAGGAACACACACAGGGACTGCCAGCTTTCCATACAGAGCCACGTGTGGGGTCAGCTCCTCTTCAACAGCGTTGCTCCTTCCCAGGATTGTGCACATGCCCAAACCGTCCAATTTTCAAAAGTTTCATGTTTGAAAAATGTTGATTAATGATCCCATTGTCTCCTTTTAAAT